GATGCAATATAGCCTCTTCCCCTGTCTGAGAAACTATAACCTTTTTTAAAATGGAAAGGATACCTGCCTCCACTCCGTTCAGCGACTGCTTGCTCTATATTGCGAGCTATGTCAGAATTTTCATTGAAAACTTCAGCTTTGGTTTTGGGTGTTTTTTTTTTCTTTTCTTTTTTATATTTTTTGGTAGGTGGTTGGAAAAAGAAGAAAGTTTATAATTTAGGAATAAAAAAGTGTCCAACTAAAATTTTAAATATAGCAAATTTCCTACTCAATATGCAAAGAAAAAAATACTCAAGACTTAACAGGAATTCACTCAGTGATTTTATTAAAGTTTTGTCTGGGTAAGGATTTTCTCGCTCCAGCCCGTGCTGTAAACAATTTTAGTATCTTTTTAAAATTAAAAAAACCCCTCATAAAACCAGATTCTGCCACCCTTACAAATGCTGATTTGTACCTTACTGCATAAGCAGTACCATAATGTTCATGAAATTGCTCATGTTGTAAGATCCTATTAATCATGAGTAAGGGAATCACATTGTACATTAAAGAAAATAGGTCTACTGACAGAAATCCCTAAGGCAGTCCACATAATGAGGCTGCCCTGGAACAGTCCCTGGTTCCATGCAAGGAAACTAGAATTCCTGACAATGGAGCCTTTGCCCTGGTACTGCAGATCTGAAAAAGAGGGGTCCCTGGGTTCAGAACAGTCCAAATAGCATTACACTGCCTCAAAGTTGCTTGGAGCTGCAGGAGAACTAAAAAAGAGGGGTCCCTGGCTTCAGAACAGTCCAAATAGCATTACGCTGCCTCAAAGTTGCTTGGAGCTGCAGGAGAAGTGGGGTGGAAGAGCTTTCTGCTTCAGCAGCTCTCCAACTGTGCTACTTTTAGGCAATTTGGGAACCATTATTCCAATTTTTCTAATGGAAAATCCGAATTTGGCAGCAATCCTGAAATTTTCTCATAGAAAATCTTGGTTTTGCAATAAGGGCATTTTTGAGAGAAAATCATTCCAGGGCGGGGAAGCTCTACTAGCTCCTCTACTTGGAGAGGATTCATTAATGAATAGGGAAGAAGGACAAGACTGCATGTGGCAGAATTATCTATATCAATCTAATTCTCAGATATTTACATGATTTTGGCTTCAACTTGGTTCTTACTTCACCTATCAGTTCACCATCCATATTATGCAGAATTAATTTGATATAAAGGAGTTTCTTGGTCACAAAGGGCTATCCAAGGTTAATTTCAGTGATGCCTAAAGAATGAAGATAGTAATGGGGCTAGGCCCTAAGGGCCAGAGAAGGGCCACAGAGAAGTCCTCCAGGCAGCTAGAGTGACATGGAGTAACCAACCAATTAGGAACCAAGAGGGACTATATGAGAAGTTGTAGGTTGTAGGACTAGAGGCAGCTCAGACCTGGAAGGGAGAAGGTCGGGGTGGCTGAACCTAGGACAGCACAGAGTAGAGAGCTGTTAGAACATTGTCTCCAGGAGGAGACGTCCTGGAGGCACCACTCCCATAGTGAGTGGGGAAACAGACAAAAGAATGGACTGAAGTGAGTCACACCACAGAGGGCAGCGGAATGGGCCTTTCTTAGAGGTGGACTGAAGTGAGTCACTTCGCAGAGGGCAGCGGAATGGGCCTTTCTTAGAGGTGTATCCCGGAAGGGGTTTGTGATTGCACAAGGAGTGTGATTCAACTGGAGGGCTGGATAGCCACAAGGCTTTTAAAACTGAGCCAGTGCAGGAACCTATGCTTCGCCAAACAGGAGTTCTCATATGTGTTAAGTGCTGACCCTATTACAAGGACATTTTGGCTCTGTTTGAGTTGATCATTTATTTCTAATTTTAAAAAATATACATTTTTCTATGCTTTTCAGTCTTCTGAAAGGAAAAATGAAGCCTCTTTTAATTTTCCCATTTGCCAAATATTTCTGACTGTATTGCTTTATTTTACTAGAATTAGCAGCATGCCAGAATATGTAATTATGTATGCTGCAAGCAAATTCATTTATTAAAAGGTTGTCTGTCTCTCTCTCTAAATATATGTATATAAAATAAAAATGAGTTCTCAATTTTGGTATCATTCAATCTAATCCTTGACAATTCTTTGACATTCTCCCTCTAATCCCGAAATGTAATTAGAATATTTTAAACTTGATATCTCATGTAGTATAGCTAGAAAGTACAAATAGTCTCTGAGCATTTATTGTTTCTTGGGTCTGTAACTCGTAGGCTGCGTATAGACTGGCAAGATTTTGCGCAAAAGCAGCTGCTTTTGCGCAAAATCTTGCCGTCTGTCTACACTGGCCATGAGCATTTGCGCAAGTACACTGACTTTGTACTGGACAAAATCAGTGCTTCTTGCACAAATACTCTGATGCTCCCGCTCAGGGATAAGCCCTCTTGTGCAAGAAAGACAGCAGGTTAATTTCTTGCGCAAGAAAGCTCGATGGCTAAAATGGCCATCGGAGCTTTCTTGCGCAAGAGAGCGTCTACACTGGCATGGATGCTTTTGCGCAAAAGCACTTTTTGCGCAAAAGCATCCATGCCAGTGTAGATGCTCTCTTGTGCAAATACTTTTAACGGAAAAACTTTTCCATTAAAAGTATTTGCACAAAATCATGCCAGTCTAGACGCAGCCATATAGTATACATATTGATATTGAAATATTGAATGCAGGGTTGCACAAACATATAATCATGCTTTTAAATAATTTGGTGCTTAGCATATTTAAATGCAAGTTGGTAGAGGGGCTCCAATAGGAAGAAGTAACTCACCAGTTTGCCTATCTAGCTTTCCTTACAGAGAAAAATAAGGAAATCTTTCACATAAAGAAAGTGTTCAATCTGTTCTGGGAATTTTTGTTTCATAACATGGGTGCACCCAAGTTCTTTCATCCCCACAGTTTAGAGATTCTGAGCTATATTTCCAAGATGCAGGGTCATCAGTGAAGTTAAAATCTCTTTTGGTGTCTAAGGCACATGCCTTAGAGTGATTGATTAAACCTAAGTTACTATCAGACAGGTACAAAATGTAATCAATGATGATAAATGATGGAAAACTTATTATTTTCTGTATGTCATCTCTTTTGAAAAGTGCCCATCATCTAACTTGTGCTTTTCAAATAAAATTTAGCTTTTTAGAATTTTATAATTGCTAATAAGGCTTCTTAGAAATGTGAATTTGGTAGTATATTAGACATCAGTTCAGAATGCTTATCAGCAATGATGTCATTATGTGCTTAACTTCCAGTAATTCAGCTATTTTAAAACTACATCATAGTATTCACAAATTGCAAACATTATTTTCCTGCAGAGATAAATGTCTTTAAATAAGTAGCTTAGATTACTCTTCTCATTAGAAAAAAGTGTATTTTGATCAAAACTCCTCTGACTTTCCCTGAAGACTAGGGTTTTCAAATAGATTGCAGCCCCTGTAAATTATGAGGAGAAACCTGTTGTATATCAGAGGGCAGCAATCATTATGGAATGCATCTCATAAACTGAAGTGACAAAGAGTTACCTTATG